ATTTGTACCTGTACATGATATATCTTAATTCCTCTTTTTTCCCATTCCCTGATCTCCTTTCAACCTCTCTTCATCTCCTCTCTTACAAAAGCTTTATTTCCATTTTTTCCTTCTTTTCTCATTTTTTTTCTTTTCCCTTCAATCCTTTCCCTTTCACCCCTCCCTAGTTCTCCCTTCCCATTTGAGCATTTTCTTCTTATTTCATAATATCTAGAACACATTTTAGTCCTTATTTACACTTTTTATTTCTCACACCAGAGAAACAATGCAATATTTACACGTGTGTTCAATTTATTTCACTCAAGAGTATGTTCTCAAGGTGCATCCATTTACCTAGAAATGTCTTAGGTTTATACATCTTTATCACTGAGTAGTACTTCACTGTATTAAAAAAAACCTACATCTTTTTTTTCCATTCATCATCTGATGGGCATTTGGGCTATTTCCAAGATTCGGTTATCAAACTGAGCTGCTATAAACATGGGTGCACATATATCATTGTGAAAAGATGTTTTTAATTATTTTGGGAAGATACCAAGAAAGAGAATAGCTGGATCAAATAGAATCTCTAGTTTTAGTTTTTTAGGGGTTTCCACACTGATTTCCACAGTAATTGCACCAATAGACACTCCCACCAACAGCAGAAAACAGTTGCTTTTTTCCCACAGCCCAAACAGCATTTGTTATTGGTTGATTTCATGACAGCAGCCATTCTTTCTGGAGTGAGATGAAATCTCAGCACTGTTTTAACTTGCATCTCTTGAACTATCAGTGAATTTGAACATTTTTTATATACTTATTTGTCATTTGTGCTTCTTCATCTGAGAAGTGTATATTCATCTCAGATGCCCATTTTCCAATTGGGTTTTTTACTTTAGGGCATCTGATCTTTTTTCAATTATTTATATATTCTACCTATTAGTCCTTTGTCTGAGGAACAACTGGCTAAATTTTTTTCCTACTATGTGTGTTAACTTTCCACTCTTTTGGTAATTTCTTTTGCTGTGTAAAAAAGCTTTTTAATAAGATGCGATCTCAGTTGTTGATTCTCTGTAATATATGCCTTGTGATCAGAATTTGTTCATAATGTGTTTTCCTACACCTATGTCTTCAAGAATTCTTCCTATTCTCTCTTCCAGTAGATCTAGTATTTCTGTTTTAATATTTAGGTCTTTGATCCATTATGATTTTAGTTTATTGCATGGTGAGAGATATGGGGTCTGGTTTTAGTTTTGGGAATGTGGAAAACTAGTTTTTTCAGCACCATTTATTAAAGAGGCTATCTCCCTTCCAGTGAAGATGTGTGGCTCCTTTGTCAAAGATGAGGTGACTGAGGGCCAGGGATTTAGCTCAGTGGCACCATGCCTACCTCACAAGTACAAGGTTGTGAGTTCGATCCCAGGTACCACCCCCCAAAAAAGTGATGAGGTGACTGAGTATGTTTGAAGTTGTTTCTGCATCTTCTATTCTGTTTCACTAATCCTCAGGTGTGTCTTTTTGCCAGAACCATGTTGTTTTTGTCACAGATGCTTTGTATTATACTTTACTGTCAGGGATTATAATGCCTTCTGCCTTGCCTTTGTCACCCAGAATTGTTTTTGCTATTCTAGGCCTCTTCTGGTTCCAACTAAAATTTAAGATTGTTTTCTCTAGTTCTGTGAGTTATTCTATTGTTATTTTGATTGGAATTTCTTTAAATATGTATAATAATTTTGAGAATATGGCCATTATCACTATGTTGGTTCTTCCTTCCCAAGGGCAAGAGACATCTTTCCATTTTCTGATATCCTCTTTAATCTCCTTTTTCACAGTGCTGTAATTTTCAATATAAAGATTTTTTTACTTCCTTTGTTAGACTGATTCCTAAGTATTTCATTTTTTGATGCTATTATGAAAGGTGTGGTTTCCCTAATTATCCTCTCAGTGAGTTTGTTGCTTGTGTACATAGGAATGTATGTCCTATTTTATAAATAACTCTTAGTCTTTTCAGAAACAGGGCTTACAGTGATACTGGGATATAATACAGAATAAAAAGCTAATTACTGAATATTAAGTGAAACGTTCATCATGAGTTGTTTATTATAAACTGGAGACCATCTTAACTAAAACTTGGTTATTGAACTGGTACTGTGAAGAAAGTTAAGGTTACGTATTGGAAGATAGGAGACAGCACAGTAGGATTGTATATGCCACTATTGTATGCTAAAAATCAATCTTGTTAAAGAAAGTAATATAGAGCAGACATCTTAATGTGTGGCCTTTACATAATAAAATATTTAACAAATTTATCATGTTTTCTTGTAAGTCTAGCCTAAAAATACTTTCCTCACATAAAAAAATATGCATACCAATATATGGAGAGACTATCTGATGTTTATGCTTTCTATGATTATTAAGGTTATATGTTAGGACAGACACTATGATTAAATAGCTGTGTATATGCACAAGTCACATGTGTTATATGTGACCTAACTTCCTCTTTGGTGGGATAAAATGAGGTGGTTGCAAAAGTACTGTAGTAGATGTATTACTGTCTCTAAATATGCTAATAACATTTCATTCATGCCCTGCCCCATAGGAGAATTACTTGTGTCCATCACATTAAATTTGGGAATTCCATGTGCTGTACATTAGCTCTAAAATCCAGTGTGGGATTTCCTATTTCTCTTTTGTCCTTTCCAGTGTGTCCAGAGAGAGGCTGTTTGCTCAATCTGAGTAAAGTAAACTGACAATCTCCACTTGACAAGAACATGAACAAAAATTAAAAATTTATTTCAATGATCAAATATTTTAAAGATTTTATAAGAAAATTTATGTTTCAACTCATGCAGCAAACATTAGTTAATGGGGTCATAATGATGCCTACTATTCATAGTCAATATGTGTAGATACAAAGTTCATGAAAGGGAGAAATCCATAATACATGAATTTAAAGGTATTACTTGGGATCATCAAAATGAAGGTAAAACTCACATGAATGGAATTAGTGCCCTACAAAAGAGGCTTTGAGGGGATTTCTTGTCCATTCTCTTTCATCATGGGAGGCTGAAGTGGGAACAGGTTCTCTCTGAGTAACAGACCTTCCATTGACACAGAATCCTAGACTACCCAACCTCTGGAACTCTGAGGGACACATGTTGTTTATAAGTCACGTACTTTATTCTATTTTGTTAAAGAAGTCTGAATAAACTTAGATATTCAACAAATTTGTAAAAGATTGACACATATTCTAGTTTAGCTTGTTTTTAATTTTAATCTGTTTCACATGATCTTCACAAATTTGGATCTGTAATTTATCTAACAATGTGCCATTGTCCTTTATCTATAAAGGTGTGTAAATATAAATTTCACCTCAGTAATGCTTTTATCTAACTATTGTGACCCTGAGAATGCTGGGAAGGCTAACAACCTAAACAAACAAACTAAGCAAAGAGATATGACACAAGATATTTTATTATCCTTATAAATAAATAAGTCAATCATCTTTCTTTAAATCATTCTAAATAGGAACTTCATTCTACATAGATACATTGATGTATGTGGATTACTCAAATCTTTTTGGAAAAAATACACTTTAATTACATATGCAAGGGGAGAGAATATCTAACCAGTGAGTGAAAGAAGCTGCCTTCAAAGAAGATAACACTATTCCTGTTAAAAGGAGAAAAGTATTTTTAATATTGGGTGATTTATATCCCCATTGATCTTTGAAATATTTTGCAAGAGGAAGGAAATAATAATTTATTAAATTAAAGTTATGTAATATTTGGAATCATACAAATCAAAAGTACTTCGAGTTTATTTTTCAAACTAAAAGATACAAGAGACTAAAAATATTTTCAGCATGCATTGTAAAATGTTACTATTATTACTTTGTAATAGTTACCTAAAGTCACTCCAAATTATTTTGGTTTGGATTGTCTCTCTACATTCACTTAGAGATTAACATTAAACAAATGTGAAAATATACTCTGGGTTGGAAAACTATTTCTTTATCTCATCTTTTATCCTACATATTCAGGCTCTAATGTTCTTTAATCTTTAAATTTTATTACATAGTATTTTATCATGTATTAAATAACTCTAATTCCCTGAGAAAGGTATTTTCCATTGAAAATAATGAAGTGCTAAGGCTACACTGATTTTGTTTTCACTTTTAGATTCCCTTGGTGACAGAGACTAATCCTCGTGCACCATCTTGACAAAGTAGAACTAAAATTCCATCATTTTGAGTGACATGAAAAACATTGAAAAGATTGGAAATTTGATAAGGGTGAAATAAAGTATAGGTCTTGGCAGCTTTTCATTATTATGAAATTGGCTTCAAGAAGATTGATGCTTTTAGGTGTTATTTTAAGTTATGTCAATTATACTTATGATCATTATTTCACATGGTTTTATTTATTATTTATTTTGTTGAGTTTTTAAATGAAAATTTGTTCTACCCCTCAGAAAGTTTCAATAAATTTTAATAATCATCACTTAGACATTTAAAAGAATGACACTTTTCAACCAAATCTATTGTTCTTGTCTTAAATCTGAAGGCAAACTCAAACTTAGCAAGTTGACTTTATTTCACTCTTTCCAAATGTCAAATGCCAATAAATGCTTTCCTTCTTCTATTTAACACCAGCCCTAAAGAGCAGGACCTTTCATTATTCTCACCTCATAGAGGATAATGTTTGGTATGATTGTTTTTCTAAGAGCAACAACAAGAGTACATTGCAAAAGTACTTCTCAAACGTACATCGGGCAAAAATATTTGTGCTATTGAAAGTTAGGTCTATTCTGCTTTTGACTGCTGATAGTAGTATTTTGCAAACATAATTGGATTATGTTATTATTGCTGTGGTTAAGTTCATACACACATATTGTCTTATTTTTGAGGAGGTATAAAAATCTATGCAATGCATAATTTTTCTTTAATTTGGTAAGTTTATAAATTTATTCACTTGCATAAATGTATCTATGATCTAAATGTAGATATTGAATTCTTTTACCGATTAGGAAAGCCATTTTGCGAATTCACAATCAGCATCATGTTTTACTTCGTTTTCAAGTACACCATGCCTATCAAACTCAAAAAGTTTTTTCCATAAGAAATCAATTTACAATGTATTTACTTAACATACTCAAAAAAGAAGTATTGCCAATAAGTTTCACTGAAGGAATCTGCTTCTCATGTAATCTAGAATAAGTAGTTCACTAAGATGACCACTGACAAAATATTACAAGGTGGATCAATATTATAAATTTCTAGATATTGGTCAGGAAATACTAGGTCATTAGTATTTCTCATCATGGCATGATTATCTTTTTTTTTTTTTTTGGCACTGGGGATTGAACTCAGGACCTTGCTCTTGCGAGGTGGCAGAACCACTGAGCTAAATCCCCAGCCCCTATGGCATGGTATCTTAATGTTAGAATTTATTATTTTAATTTGAAAATGATTACTTGGTCAGAATTGGACACAGGTGAAAAAGTGTACAAGTTATTGTTGAAATATATGAAAGGCATTGTACCTCAGTGTATGGAGGTAAAGCCAATTGACACAAAACTATTGATACAAATGTCCTCTGAAATTGATGGTAAAAAAAAAAAAAGTAATTTGGGGAAATTTGAGTTGAGCAAATAAAGTCTGTCTATGTGTGTGTTTGAGTGATCAACAGTTGTATTTTAGTTTGCATTTTAGTGTTTCAGTATTTTTAATTGCATCCTAAGGTCTACATTTTGTAGGCATTTAGGATCTTCTATCTGTAAAAGAAGCCATGACACTATTATTTTATAGGGGAAAAACAAAATTTTAATAAAAATTTACTAATAAAATATTTGCTATTACTCTTTTGATAAAATATTATTGCAAAAGTCTCATATAGCAAATTTTGAAAAAGCAAAGCTTCAGATCTCAAAAGAAAACTGAAATGCATCTTTGGTGGAGCATTATTTGTATTTAAAAAAAGTTTTGAAAGAAAATACCTTGAACAACATAGCTTATTTTTGAAAAAAAAATAGATAAATAATAAGAATAATTTTCTCATTAATGCTTAGTTTAATTTATGATAGTCAAAATTCTTTCCTCAGATATTTAAAAAATTTCATAGCTTTTTATTGTTACTAGTTTAAACCTATATTTATTTGTTGCTCTATTCTTAGCTTTGCCAGGATATACAATTACCATAAAGATATTTTTAAAAAATTCTCATTGAACTTAAAGTCTTGATTTGCATACTCCATTAGAAATAAACTGAGGCCAAAACAAATCCCTTTAAAAATGAAAATTTTAAAAATGCATGTCAAAGATTTAATTGAATTTCAACACTGATTCAAATAAGGAGAATCTTGGATTTGGACAGTATGCTGGTACTGTTGACAAAAAACATAGAAATGAGAACATGCAGAAAATATATGCAACACAGCAAAAAAACCCCATATACTTGGCTATACTACCATTTGTTCATATTCTCTTCTTATCCTGTTCAAATTCAAATTAACATCTGTTAAAAGAAATCCTTTAGACAAATGAAATTTAGCTGCCTTTAATTAAGCAAACAATTCACAAGACTTCCACTTTCAAGAGCAGAGTAAGATCAGAGAACACTGATCTTGAAAATAGACTTGAAGTACAGAGAGAGCTGGATTGGTTACCTTTCCACACGTAGGATATTTTTAATGTGGTCTGACGGTGATTGCCTGTAATTGACTGAAGCTCTGCTACTACAAATGGCTGAGACTCCATTTTTATAAAAGTATTTTACTCCTTTAGACTTATAATTAGCTTACACACTAAGTTAGTCTGGAGTTCATTACCTAAGGTCTTAAGAGCAGGCTATTTCCAAGCCAAATTCAGTTTTATTTACCACATCTAGCTTAAATTCATTATCAAGAATCACCTGGCCACACTCTGCACACATTTTTACTCTTCCTATCAAATTGGATGTCTTTAAGTCATTTTTTTCTTTCATGTAAGAGAGTCTTCTGTTGGTTTCCACTCTTTCACTTTTGTAGCTGGAATAAACTTGAAAATATATTTCAGATTATGTCACTTCTTTGCTTTAATACCAATTAATAGCTTCCAAATTAAAAACTGAAAAATACCTTAAAAAACACGCTGGAAATAGTTTGGCTTCCCAAGTCACCATTTCCTCTTGTAAAGACACTTGTCTACTCTATTTTCATTGTGATTTTAATTTACCAACTTCTTTGCTGATTTGTGTGGCAGATAATTATCTCTCTAAACTCTTTTCTTTCATTTTAAGAGTTTGTATAGGTTGAGGATGTAGCTCAGTGGCACTGTGCCTCCCTCAAAAGTGCAAGGTCCTATGTTTGATTTCCAGTATCAACAAAAGAAAAAAATAGCTAACTCATTTTAAGATTTTTTTACAGCACCATCAGGAAAATTCTCTCTGTGTAACTAATTCTTAAAATATTCCCTTTCTGTTCAACCACACTTATCGCATTGTTTTTGTCTTTTTCTTAAGCAGTTTTGGAAGTTCTCTTTTGTATGTTCATTTGTGCTGTCTTGACTACCTCAATGTTTTGAATTGATTCAAAATGTTTACCTTTTATGTACTTTTTGACTTTAGGGAAAAGCTAGAAGTTGCTCCATGGGCAATGCAGGGAATAAGGTGGATGAGGACACATTGTAATGTTTATATTTGATAGCAAATGCAGTAGATGTTTGATTGATGAGCTGTGCAATCCTGAAGACATAATATGGGATTACAACAACCCGTTCCATACTTTTCTACTATAAATTTGTACTTTAGCACAATAGGAGCCAGCTGTGAATCTCAGTAGCTGCACTCGGGGTATAAAGGAACCAATATTTGTGTTTATCCACTTGGTACAATGAACAGCAAGCTGTGAGCACATGTGCAAAAGTGTCAAACTGGGATTTTTACCCACATAATTCTGCATCTAACAGGTTTTGTGTATGGTTACCTGAGCATCACAGGAGGTAAAACACACCCACCCTACTCTTCTGTTATGAAAACATGTATTTTATCATAATGGAATGTGAGTGTGACTCACAGTAGCTACACCTGGGGAAATAAAAAACCCATCTGTGCATTCTCCAACTTCCAGACAAACAGCAAGATGTGTACAGGAGTTCCAAAGCAGAAACAGCTAAGTTTTACCCATGAAATGCTCTTTGCTAAATTTCTGTGCACTTAGAATATTGGTTAAGAAGTTTCCTTTTGATTTTTCTGATAGAAGTAGGCCAATTCAGTAAAATGGCATGTGAAAAAACAGATTTACAAGTTTTAGAAGAGGTCAAAAGGGAATAATCAGATTACTATGCATGGATGATAAGGATGAGAGTGACTTTGACATTGGCAATGTTAGTCAAAGTTCCTGTGACAAGGAAGTGACAAGAATCAACTGATACAGACAAGGGGTATGCAGACCTCCATGTGATGAAGAAAACAACAATGTGAGTGCATATTTCACTAGTTGAAATGTTGCAAAATGGTCATGCAGCCAAACGGAACAATCCAATGTTAGAACTGGTTCTGAAAGTATAGAAGATCTTGGCAGGAGTGAAATCTTTTGGGTAGAATGTCAACACTGATATTCAATGTTGAAAATTGTAACAGATGAAATCCTACAAGATGCCATGAAACACACAAAGGCTGAAATACAAGTAAAACATTCTGTATGCACTAATAGTCATATTTAAAAATGTACTTATTAGGGCTGGGGATTTAGCTCAATGGTTTCACCACCTGCTGTGCAAGCACAAGGTTCTGAGTTCAAATGCCGGTACAAAAAAAGAATGTATTTATTATCACACCTTACTAGCTGAACTGAAAGCATTCGTAAGTCTGCTCTACTTAGCAGGAATTTTTCATAGTAATTACAAGAATGTACAAAACTTATGGAAAAAGGATGGGTCAAAATACGACATAAAATTTTTATGCCATTGTAGATGTGAATACTATGCCATCAATTTAGAAATTTGTCCTGGAACTCAGCCATGAGGTCCTAATACATATAGTAATAAATTCAATGATGCTGTACACAGACTTACTGCTCCCATCTCCCAAACTAACTGGAATGTGACATTCAACAATTGGTTTACCAGTTTCTAGTTTATGTTACACTTGCTAACAGAGCACAAGCTGACCAGTGTAGAAATTCTACACAAGAACAAAGCAGAAATTCCAAATCAAATGTTGAAATTTCAAAACAGAGAATTGTATAGTAAAATCTTTGGATTTCAGAAAGATTTATATTGGCCTTGTATATGGCGAAGAAAAATGAACTGGTACTGCTGATGTCAACACTGCACCATGATAAAAATATTGATAGGGAAACCTTAACAAACAGAAGCCTGAGATGGAAACTTTCTATAATGAAAACAAAGGTGGAGTAGATGTTGTTGATGAATTGTGTGGCAACTATGATGCACTAGAAACACAAGTTTTGGCCAATGGTTGTTTCTACTTGATCCTAAGCCTGTATCAGAATAAATAGTTTGATAGTTCACAAAGAAAATAAGTGCAAAATATCCTGGAGAATTTTTCTTAGAAGACTGGGACTGGAACTCAAAAGAGATCATTTACAGCAGAGAAAAAACAGAATATTTCTTCCCAGGAAATAACACAAAAAATTGTGGTGCATACTGGTGAGCTGACACATGAGCAGTCAAGTGGAGCATCACAAAGACCTAGAGCAACAACACAAAAAACAAGAATATGTCAACTGTGCCCTTCAGGAAAGGACAGGGAAACAAAATACATGTGCTATTAGTGTATGCAATACTTATGTATGGAACATGCAGTTGTCATGTATGAAGATTGCCTTGAGTATGACAATTGAACCAAATTTATTTTTGTTTTAGAGTTCTATCAGTATTTTCATTGTGGTTCATATAGGAATTTATTTCTGATGTTATTTTTTAGTTTTGTAAGCAAGTATAAAGCTGCTGTGAAAATGTTCATGTTTATTCTAAATGCACAATACATATTAAGAATGTAATACTTTATTTTATTGATTTTTATGTTCTCGTTAAC